TCATCGACTCCACATTTTGACTGTATTAGTCATTTGGAGAATGATCAGCAGTTTCCCAGCATACATTTCCCAACATCCTTGACCAGTCAAATGTTTTTGAAAACCTCCTTTTTCCAGGAGTGAATAACCTGAAATTGTTCTCTGTAACCAAGATCTGAAAAATCATGCAAACTAACAGGAACCTACATCTTTTCAGAGATTAAGGAACTGGTTCACTTGCAGCCTCTTTGCTGCTGTATATGAAGCTTCGAACAAAGATGCAAACATTTTCTTGGCTGTTTACACACAAAGACTGTTACGACTCCCTCTGATGCGTCATTAGGACAATACAGTGCTGCAGGAAGTCGTGTTGTATATTACTGGCAGAACGGGGAGGAAAAAGAACAGAATCGTGACTGACTGGTTGTTCAGTGGTTCAACATAATGATCCAAAACATTAGATGAACAGAACCAGAGGTTTCACATGATGGGAGAGCAGCACAGTCTCCAGGATTAAACCATAAACAAACTGCTAGTGCAACATATGACTGGGAACTTCTGCTGCAGAGTTGGGACGAAGTGTCCCCACATTATTTGATTTCCACTGTTGACTGAACGTCATGAGTGTGTTCAGCTGCAAGATGAATAAGAAATCAGATTAAATTTGGGATTTAAGATTATCTGATCCTTTTTTTCTGTTTAAATCGTATTTATTTGTTCTGTTTTTTAAATCAGTGTACACTGAGACATTACACCATGTTCATTTCAGAGATCAAATCAATTCGGTCACTGATGGCACGGTCGACCTGCGCACACCTGAGAGAAACCTGATCTCTCCCTGCTCATGTTCATGCGCCTCATCGCTCCCCAGGGACACATTAATACAAGTTCTCTCATTTCTGCTCTCAATAATTTAAGACATACTAGAGATGATGTCTCTGTGCCAGCCACAGCAGAAGTAGTTAATCCGATAATAATCAAATCTTACAAAGAAAGAGAATAATTCAGCGATGCTATCAGTTTCCATCCCCTCTGTGCGGTGGTCTGGTTAGCGATGGGGAGATGATGGGATCCGTCTTGAGCATGATGTCAGTGTCCTTCGGTTCTGAGAGACACAGCGACAAACATCTGACACAACCCGGCACGCGATGCTGGAAACCAAAAAATCATTTGAGTCCTGAGAAATGTCTTAAAGAATCAGAGAGGGGAAGGTATCAAAAAGGTAAAGTGGTATGTTAGGCTAATGTATGTTCAGGCTTTTTATGAATTTTACGTTTTTATTTTGGGGAATTACTGCCACAAAGTGCTGGTAGAAGTATGTCTGTGAGTAGTGCAGCTCATCGAGTCTTTTAGCTGTACAGTCATAAACAACTGACAGCTAATGTAAGAGGGATTACAGGTCAGTTTTTTTCTGCCACATATCTAGAAATTTAGAGCAAAATTCAACCCAGTTCAGACATTTTGGTTCATTTTGATCTTTCATTACTCAAATTGTATATTTAATGCTCTATCTCAATTTAATATAATAAGAAGAACGAGAGTGGCTCTCAGTTGACCACAAACCTCCACCAAGGTTGAATAATATAACACACGATGGTCTAGGAGGAGGCGGTCTGAAAGTGTAAATGATTTATTTATCTTATAACGTGGTTGAAGAAAGTGAAGAAAAATTCCTGGTTCTACCCTTTAATCTACCTCCCACCAAACTCCTGCGAACAAACTAATAGTACTAACAACAACAATGTGTTGACATCGAAGGGGCGAAAGGGAAAATTGAGCCTCCCACATCAGAGGTTTGTCCACACGTTCAGAAACTTGCTTTTACACGTCTGTTTATTGGACAGCGCAAAAACGTGGGATCAGAAGAAAACAAGCGATTTACAGAAATCTTCCCTGAGCTCGACCTATGAGAGCAGGGAAGAGGCCCTAAGTGATGCCATATGCTCCAATAATTCCATTAATAATGGGAGCGGGGCCGGTCCCTCCGCAACACTGGCTCACTTCTGAGGTGACATGGGGGAAAGTCGGGGGGGAGGGGGAAAGAAGACCAGGGGAGAGAGGGAGAAATTGATTTCATATGTTTTCTCTCTCGACTTGGCGTTCCAAGTGCTCGAGGACCCCTCTCCCCCTCCACCCCCCCGATCAACAACAACCCCCACTGTCCACCACCTCCCCTCCCCACGTCACCCCTGTATTCTGGAAGGGGGGGAAAAAAACCTCAGACTTCCTTCCTGCTCCGTCAGTTTGTTTTTCCAAATGCCAATACACGTCCATTTACTATTTCAGCATGTTTCGCATTATCCGAGCCCCTCAGAGAAATGCTCCGCAACCAGTGGGTCTCTGTTTGTCTTTAGAGAAAAATGTTGTCTTCACTGTTTTTTTCTCATTTACAAGAAACCTCCCTCACTCTCCTCCTCCTGTGTTTCCCCCTCTGCAGACTCCCTCCGGTTTGTTGCTGGCTCACAGTCCGCTGTTGTCGGGCATCCACTTCTGGAGCAGCCTGAGCCCTGTTGCCCCGCTGAGCCCCGCCCGGCTGCAGGGCCACAGCTCGCTGTTCCAGGTAACAAACACACACTCACTCACTCACTCTCTCTCTCACACACACACACATACACACACAAAAAACATACACTTGACAGGTGTGGCTGTGAAGAGACGGACACGCAGGAGGTGAAAACAGTGTGCTGAAAGGATAAATATTGACTGGAAGCCAAGTAGGAAGTTTTGAGACTGCAGGTGAAATTAAAATACCTCGTTCTTCCCAGCAGTTGTTAAATCACGTGAATAATGATTAGAGAGATTCAAATAAACCAGAGTCAAACACACACAGCCGGTTTATCTTCTATCACAGGTAATAAAAGGATTGGCTCTGGTTTTTATAGCCTGGACATATATTTGATTCTTTCTGTTTTTTATCCAATGTGAAATAATCATGAACCCTCTATTACATCGTTTAAAATGAGGAGATTGGGTCTCGAACTTCAAAATTCTGTCTATAAACTTGACAAAGAGACTATATAAAAGATGTTTTTGAGATTTGAAAAAACAGCAGACAGCAGCGGTGGTGAAACTAGTTGTGCGTTAGTGAGCAGGTCCAGCAGAGGTGTCCTGTTTCAGCGCTTGTGAGCTGGAGAGGAAATCCTGTGAATACTTCCTGTTTGAGCCCAGGGGAGCCGGTTTGAACAGGGCGGACTGGTTTGAGAGCTGCTCCTCATTTGAGAAACGTACATGCATGCACCACACCCCCCTCCACACACACACTATACCGGATTCTTTGTGCACAAATACTGTTGACTGCTTCGTCTGTTGTTGAGGTGCAGGGGACAGAGACTAAAAAGGAAGAGGTACAATGAAAAGAAAAAAAAAAAAAAAAACAGGAAACCAGAGCGGTGACAATGCTGCAGTTCCTCAGCGGAAAGCAGCCTTCATAGAGCGTCCGTCCCCGCCTCGCTAACTCTCGGCCCCTTTCTCTTCCTCCGCAGTTCCCCAGCCTAATCAACGGACACATGCCTGTCCCCCTGCCAAACCTGGAAGGAACACCCTCCTCCCTGCTCCTGTCCCCCGCCACCCACAAATCCTGATCCAGGGTCTGTGTAGATAAAAAAAACCTCTCATCTTCATCCATCTCTTGTTGAAGGCTTCAGCTTCATTATCATCATCATCATCATCATCATCATCATCATCATCCTCATCAGTAGCAGCAGCGATCTCTTCTCCATTTTGCTTCAGTAACGTCCTGAGACAGTCTCTGACCTCACCTTTTTGTTTGCACTTGAGTTGCTTCAGATTACAGTGGTTGAAAGCACTTGGTAAAAAAAAAAAAAAAAAGCCATACGCCATGATGTCTGTGAGGCGTCGGGCTCTTTGTGATAAAGTATAGCACATTTCCACATGACCCTGTTCAACACGGACAGTAGTGACGTGTAGCTAGCTGAGAAAAGGCTAGTCTTCCTCTCTTTGCGCAGAGAGCTCAGTTGTTTTTTAATCTTGTAAGAAAAACAAAAAAAATGTTTTCTTTAAATGTTCATCACAGTGTGAAACAGGTCGTTTCACATTGTGTGGTATTGTATGTAATGTATGCACTATGCTTCTCCGATAGTACCGGCTGTGCCTTGTTGTCCTATTTTTCCTCTTTATTTCAAACAAATCTTTTAATGAAGACGAGATTTCAAATCAATGAAAAAAGCCTTTGTAACGCTTGTAATGTTCTTTTTTTTTTTATAATGGACTTGGTATATAGTATGTATTCTGTATATTTTTTGTATTGTGAAGAACGTCATGTCGTTTTCAATAAACCAAGCATTGAATGCTGAAACATGGACGCTGGTTTTACTGTAGCTACAACAAAATGTGAAGGAAAAAATCCAACGTGGATGTTCACGTGGATTCTGTTTAAACTTTAGATTTAATTTCCTGATCCCATCTTTATCCAGGGTTTCTGCTGGGTCTCTAAGGTCTAAAATTTAATAATGTAAATTCTAGTCCTTAAAACCTCATAAATATGTTTAACTATGACATACTAGGTCTTAAATACATTTAGGTAAGTCTTAATCATGTCAATGTTTATTTCAATGCTACTGCACAATTTTGCTTTTTCAAGAGAAATGGTTTTCTGATGTGTGGTTTGTAATGTCTCAGTGTGATGTTGTTCTTACAGATATCAGCACGCTGTAATAAAACTGAAAAGCTGAGTGAACGATGGATACGTGCTGTAGTTATGAGAGTTAACAAAGAACTTAAAGGTTCAGTGTGTAGAATTGAGTGGTGAATTTGCACGTTGCTGCTGAATGACCCTCACCTCACAAACATAAAAAATACCCGTGGTAGATTTACATTTTTATGAAAACTCCAAAGGTGTTTAGTTTTTCCAGTCTGGACGACTGTAAAAAAACATGGTGGCCCCCGTAGAGAGGACCCCATCTCGATGTTAATCTTTAAATGTCATTTATCATGGTTTTTAAAAGTCTAGCTCAAACAAAATATGAAGTGTCCGGAAAATAAATCCAAACCGATACCCATGGTTTCTGTTTAAACATTAGATTTAATATTCTTTACTCTGGAAAAAAAAAGCTCAAATATGGGAGTGCATCTGCAGTGAAATCCCACACAGATAACAAATATCGACAAATAAAGTTAAAGAATATCATACAAAACATCTCCTGTAACACTGTTAAATAGATTTGACTTTAGTTTCTTATTCACTGGGGGGCAGGACTACAGCTATGCTCCCTGAACATGTGCTTCCTCCTACCACAGAACAGACATGCAACACAACGATGCAATCCAGAGAAAAAAAGGTAGCCATCTGAGCCATTTGTCTTTTTACAGTTGATGAGATGGGAATGGCAGAAAGGACAACACGTCAGTAAAGGCAGCATCATGGATTCCGACACAGGAAATTCACTTTGCGCTTTCTCCTCTTTGAGCAGAGGAGAAAATGTGTCCGACTGAGGCGAGGAAGAACGAGGAGGAGGTTGTTCACGAGTTTGATTGTTTAGGATTTGTGAAGAGTTTTAGAAGGCGGATCTAATCCTTTAATGCCCTTGTTAATAATTCTACGCTGCCAGTTTCCCTCCTGCATTTGTTCATTGGTCACAACACAGACCACAGCATCCTGGAATGATTCTTTGCCAGTATCTGACACAACAAAATCTCCTTTTCTTATTTTTTTTCCACAGACTTGGCAGCATTTATCTTGTATTAGCCTCCAGTTAGGATAAAATGATCCGTTATTAAATCAGAGCTGGCCTCAGAAACCTTCAGAGCAAATGGTCACAAATTACTTGTGCGGCGCCGTAGCATGAGAATCAAACTACTTTGAGCTGCTACAGAGACATCCCTCTGTTCGTCTGCTGGTGAGCTGTACACATCCACTCACACCAAGGAGGAGTCTTTATGTATGAAAATGGAAATGAAAAAAACCCAAAATAAAACACTAAAAATACCACCACTTCAAAAAAAAAGAAGAAATCTATATACATTGCATGTTCTCATTAAAGTGACTGAGCCCATTAGAATTCTAGACAGTAGTTGGATTTAGCAGCAAATTCTCTTCTCAATAAATATAGATGTACAGTATATAAACGTCTCTTCTAGAGGGGAGGGGGGTTCGCACTGAGGACGAGTTTCCCAAGTAAGTTGGGGGGGTGATGATGATGAGGACGATGAAGGTACTGCTCCACGCCAACATCCATCTTAGATCTCTGATCCATCGGCGAGACTGTACAGCTCGGAGATCCTTCCCAAATAATAAAAAAAATAGAGTCCAGAGAGACTAAAAGAGCATGCTTTGTCTTCTGCTCTTTCCGTTGCCTGAAGGAGAGAAGAAACAAGGATGAAAACATAAATTACAGATTGTATAAAGTTCACAGAAGAGATTTTCATAACCAGACACTTTTATCTTCATGAGCTATAATAGTGTTTGTGAGTGGGCTCAACTAAAAAAACTAAATTCCTGTTTCTACTGAGTCATAAAAAGTCTACAACTATGATAAACTATTACATACTAGATCTTAAATACATTTGATGATCTTATTATGTTAACGATCATTTAACGCTACTACAAAATTAGTTTTGGCGAGAAATGTTTTGGCCGAATGTATATTTCCAATGTCTCTGTTGTAGTTGTTAGTTATTATCACGCTGTAATAAAACTACAAAAAAACAACAACGTGGAACTGACAGCTGAGAGTCTAGAAACACTCCCAGAACACTTGGCTTGGCCATAACCTGTTTTGGTTATTGGCATTAACAATACTACTCACCTGACTCTGGGTACGAAGAGTTCCGGTAGCCAGGATCCCTCTGCAGCTGAACCTCCTTCAGTGTGAATATGGATATGCCTGCCAAACACGAAGAGCATTATTCTGTCAGTGCGACAGAAACCACATCTTGCCAGGAGAACAGTGTCTTATGTTACGAGGCTGTAACTGATCCTCGCTGCACGCTGCAATATCCTTCAAGTTGTACCTAGCGGAGCTTGCCAAGTCTGCATTACTGCATTGCCATTTCATTACTCACTCTCTGGCAGCGTGCGCACACGTGGCCCCAGGCTCCTGAAGTACGGCTGTTTCATTGCTTCATCGGCAGAGATCCTCTTTTTGGACTCGTACTGACACACAAACATGGAGTCGGTAAAAGAACAGGAACAGTTAGTGTGTGATTGAATACAAATGAGCTGCTGCCTGGATGCACTTCCTTCTATAAATACAGTCCTGACATAGCTGCAAAATGTGTCGCGCTGCCTGCCAGATACTGAGAGACTCACTTTTAGGAATGACATCAGCAGGTCAATGCCATCAGTGTCCAACCTGCAGAGAGGGGAGGGGAGGTCAGTGGCAGTGGGGGACACTCACACATATTGGCGGGTGTAAGGAAGGAAAACAGTCAACTATTCCACAGGATTTCCTTAGAGGAAGTAACAAAAAGCACCAGCTGCTAACTAAACAAACCTACAACACTAATGTCTCATTCACTACGAACTGAAAAGGCTCTTCTCTGATACCTGGGTCTGACCAGAAACATTTGCTCTTTTCCATCTCCAATGATAAGAGAGCTAACGAGAAGAGAAGTCAAGGGAAGTGTTCATCAACTTTAATAAAACCAGAAGCAACATGGGATAAACTGTAGTTCAACAACATACACAGAACAAAAATGACAACAGAGTATGAATATTTATGTTTACCTGGGAGCGTGGTTAATGAGGGGCTGGGCCTTGTATTTGGGGAACTTGTAGGACTTGAACTCGTCAATAGAGGATATTCCAGGCCAGCTGTCTTCTGTCGGAGTGCCTGTGGAGGGACATTCAATCGACCATGTCAGAGTTGGGCTTTGCGGCGGCAGCTGGAGGGGGCTTTTCACGCTGCCACAGGGGCTACATGCCAGGGTTAATGCGATTAAAGGCTCATATTCAAAGTTCCATCGCATCCCCGTCAACAGGGGGCAGCACTCACCCAGCAGCCTGAAGATGAGATGCAGCTCGTCCTCCACCGTGGAGCCTGGGAACAGGGGCCTGCCGGCAGCCATCTCGTAGAATATGCAACCAACACCCCTGTGAGGGAGACGCAGACAGGAGGAATTAGGTCTGAGTGAAGCTTCAAACACAATATAACGCTACAGGTCGTCTGTGGCTACACCACCATGAACTTTTTAGACCAAAATCCCAGTCGAGCTTTAACTGACTGCTTTGTGTCTGTGAGTGGAGAAAGCAGCGGGGGAAAAAAACGTGCCGTGACAAAGTCGTGAGACGTAAAATACTTTTCGTGAAATTAGAAATATTTGGATCGTCCGTGTGCGTAGGCATATGGGCAGAAAGAAGAGAGTAGTCATGATTGTGATACTCTCTAACAGTTGTAGTCGCCCCCGGAGTGCGAGGCCCACTCACCACATGTCTATCTGCGTGGAGTACTCAGAGGAGCCGAGCAGCACGTCGGGAGGCCGATACCAAAGTGTTACCACCTCGTTAGAGTATGTTTTAGTGGGCACAGACTTCGCCCTCGCCAGCCCTGTGGAGCAGAAATGTGAGAAACATAAACAATGTGTTATGCAGTAGTAAATATAGATACAGCAGTTTTCACTAGTATCTAAATGAACGATGATTCATCTTGAAGAGAAAATCTCCATTGTTAAAAAACAAAGCGTTGATGTTAGTTCTTTTGTTATTTACCAAAGTCGGCCAGTTTGAGTTCTCCTCTGTCGTTGATGAGCAGATTCTGGGGCTTCAGGTCTCTGTGAAGAACTTTCCGTTTGTGACAGTACGCCAAGCCTCGCAGGATCTGAAATAGAAAAATCTAAGCAAAGAGACAGTTCTGATAAGTAACCATGATCAATGGTAATCAACAATTACGCCTAAAATATGCCATTTCATATTATTTAAATTTTATTTTAACTGCTCTAAACAACCGGAGCCTTATTTACTACCAGTACTACAATAATATCTAAGTATTTAGTGGTAATAGTGGTGTATGGCTATGACAGAATTTACTCGTATATCGGATTTATTTGCGATGTGCAGGTTATGAGAGTTGACTGCAGGGGTAATGAGGGAGCCAGATGTTGCTGTGTAAACTCAAGCGTGACGGAAGCTGTGACTTAATTCACTTATCTGTGTGCATGACTGTTTGATCCGGTGTGTTGTCAGCATTCATTGGTCTTGTTTTTAATCACGTAGCCACAATAATAAAAGCTTTTTATCTGTTGAACCTTGTGCCTTGACCTTTTGGGGGAATTGTGGGCACCTCTGTAGATTCAGCAGCAAATATTTTGTGTCACGTTGATTCAAGATTGTTTTTAAATAACAATATGTCTTCAAATTTTTTCAGTCAAAAAAAGGAAATGTAACAACATTTCAACACATGGGTTTTTGTGGACAAGGTTAAGAAAACAAGTGCTACTTTCTACATTCCACCACCAGGGGGCACAATAACAGTGTTTCTTGTTGGTGTAAGTAACCACTTAAGTCCTGGAAGTTGATGAAGTTGGCTGGGCCAGCAGGCAGCCTGCGGCAGCTCACCTTGACATTCTGCATGCTCAGGATGTTCCCACAGTCGTCCATGTACTGCTTCAGGTCTTTGTCCTGAACGAGAGAGAGGGGGGAGAGAGAAAGGGAGAACGGACGTCAGAGGAGTGCAGAGGCTACAGGCACAGAAACAGTGGGAAGTAAGCTCTTATCTGCTGAGGCTCATGAATAATAAAGATGGAGAATATATTTGTTTAACCATATTTTAACATGTGAGTCCTGGAGGCAGTGAAGGGCTGAGGACGGAGGATGTGTTGGTCTCACCAGGTACTCGAAGACCAGTGTGAGCGACTTTTCTGTGTGAACGATGTCGTGCAGCGTCACGATGTTGGCGTGTTTCAGATCCTTCAGTAACGACACTAGAGGAAAAGAAAAAGGTGAAAAGGTTGGTTTGTTTTTAGCATTATGGGACATACGGTATAAAACATTTCTTCATTTATCTTTCATGTGTTATTTGCTTTTATTTTAGATGTTATTGTTGTTATACATATATTTCTGTCTTTTGGCTGAGATGGTTTTTAATCTCACCAGTACAATCCCCTTTTATTTACTCAAGTATCATGCCTCTTTTATTACTTTATAATAACAATTACTTATTAAAACACTAACTTAACTAAAACTAAACTCTCATATATCTGGGTTTACACAGATCAACTTTAGTAATGTGTATTATAAATCTTTACATCCCTCACAAATGTCCCAGACTTACAAAACAAACAACAAAAGCATTAAAGAGTTAGAAGTCCAGAAAAACCGAGCAGGATGGTGCATTGGGCAAACACTCAACAGATACCTGTACATCCCACCCTGTTCCATCAGCTTTCTTGTCAAAGCCTGCCCCCAAAACACATGAACATGCACTGACTGACAACTGCTCGAAGCCGACTTTTCTGTGACTCACTCGCTCGTTTCTGTTTCAGCATTGTTTGTTTCTCCAGCTGAAGACTCTGGTGATGCGCAGTGAGAGCACGGGCAGGCAGGTCGGTCAGTGACGGACCAAGTACGTCGACCAATTATTGAATTTAGTCCGACTCTATTTAGTGATGCTTTTTGGGACTCAAAGAGGTTCTGAAAAAAACTTACCAACCTGACTTATGACTAATCTTTAAGTAATTACAAAGTAAACCGTATGTACATAAACCTACAGCACAGGGGCACACAGACTCATACAAATAATGTCACATTCATCTTGCTTTCAACAAAACAGCCCTACGCTTAGGAGGTGATGTCACAGTCACATGACTAATACATATATTGATTAAGTGATTACAAGCTGTACATTTTTCAGTCTCGTAGTGTAATGATAAAATACTTGATCCTGTGTCTTTGAACATTAACATCAAGTTGTCCAAAGATGATCCCAGCAAAATTGAAGACATGTTTGAATTTGTCAGACCTGCAGGCTTCAATGGACGTGAATGGAACACATATTGTTGCCTTTAGCTGATGCATCACTGTCACTCTAAACTGAGCACATTTCATCTCTTTTGATGGTCGTGACAACTCAACCACTCACAACAACCAGAATTTCATCATCGTCTTCAAACGTGCCCTGTGGTGGAAGGCACATTATCATAAACGAATGAGATAATCTTCTATCATCAAATCTAGGTGGAGTCAGTTGCGGGAGTGGTGCAGGGTTCGTGGTCAACCTTTGTACCTTCTCGGATGGCTGTGCACGGTGCCCCCTCCTCATGCTCCAGTCTGATCTCCTTCAGCGCCACAAGGTTGTCCGTCAGCTTACTCCTCCCTTTGAAGACTGTAGCATATGTGCCCTTGAGGAAAAGACAAGAAGGACAGAGGTGAGGACAGGATTCAGAGATTGGACTGATGCTGCACAGTCTGAGCCATCAGGGGTCAAAAGGAAACTCTGTACGATATGTCACCAAGTGCCACTGAGAATTAGCACCTGGTGGAAAACAACAAAGGGGCCAAGGCTGACACTGAATACAAACGCTCACTTACCTCCCCCAGTTTGTCCAGTTTGATGTAGGTTTCCAGCTTCCCGAATCCTATTTCTGACTGGAGGAGAGAAAAGGACAAACAATATTAATAAGGGCGGCGTCTTAATTAGCAATGACAAGCCTACAGACACCACGAGAAATCCTTGTGACGGCCTCGCAGCAACAGAGGGGGATGTAAGGAGGTCACACGCCCCCGACCGCCATCACTTCTAATCTGTTGTGACAAAGGACCGTTGGCTTTTGGCTTTTACAAAGTGTTGGTTTATAGGCAAGACATGCAAAGGCAAACTTTATATATAAATCAGATTAAATACACAACTGAAAACTCTGTGTTCTGGTTGGTAGTTAATTTTAGTCATTTTAAAAACAAAAATGCAAAACAAGAGCTAGTGTCATAATCATTAGTGATTATACTGAATAGTCCTGGGTTTGGGCTGTTAATCGAACTAAATAAGCTGTGTAAATACAGAAAATAATCAGCACTAATCGATAAAAATACAGTATCTGAAGCCATAAAGTGCTGAAAGTCTAAAATGAGAGAACAAATTGCACATACAGTTCACAGCCATTTTATTACATGCAGATAGAGAGAGATTATCTTATAACTAAAATCCAAAGCTCTTTAATAAAACACAACAGCTTTTGTTTTTCTAAGTGAGAGTCGGAGGTCATGTTCAGTCCTGAGAAAAGCTTTTCCAGAAACTAGGAGCATTAAAAAGCAAAGGCAGGGTCACCATATTTTTAACTGACCCTTGGTGCAGAAAGACCAGCACCAGATGAGCGGAGAGGTCTGGGTGTTGAACATTGTGAATTATCCGGAGCCAGGACATTGCTTTCAACATGAAGTAAAATCACAAGCTAATTATCGAGGCAGCTAATAAAGTGAATGCTGGAATGCGATGTAAACAATTGACAACAGATTGAGAGGATGAGGTTGGACGGTTAATGGTGGATGAGGGAGATTTGCTCCCTGTCATCCACTCGGTTTGAGTTTCCTTCTAATTCTGTCACATTCTTCTTCACACGACTCTCATATCAGAAGTACTCACTCTCGGTCATGGGCAAAAATAGTGTACATTTACTTAAGTACAGTGTGGAGGTAGGAACACGTTTTCCTCCACTACATGTATCTGAAAGATGAAGGCAGTAGTTACCTAAAGTGGATCCATTCTTTGCTGAATGATGTAAGATAACAATATGATTTAGTGTTCATCATGAGATGCTATACATCTTTCATACTGATGTAGAACTGAGTAATATTGTCAGGTGTATTACGCCACTGTGTGCGATCTGAACACTTTAGATTCAATATCTACTAAATATACTCCTGTTACTATACAGTATTTTGTATTCTGAAATATTATTCAAGATAGTATATTCAGTCTTTGCATTTTATGTAAGGTATTCTTTTGTGTGTTAAAAACATGTGAAAGATACTTTTCTATTAATGCCTGCATTATTGGACAATGACATTTAAAACATCTCTTTATGGCAACATTGGTTTTGATTGATTTGGTTTTATGTGATGATTTGTTTGGTTATTTAATTAGCTGGATTAACCAAAAACTCAAAAGCTTAATCAAAAACTTTCAAGGGAAAACAACATCATGTCATTCAAAACTGTGTCAAATGTTTTTAGGTCTCTGGTCAACATATACTGATGCTGTTATTTATATATGTACTGTATATCTCTTAACTACTCCCTCTCTTAACATCAGCTTCTCTATTCTCCACTTCACCTAGTTCAGAAATATGAGTACTCCTGTGTATCCCTCTTTCTCTCTGTAACTCCTCGCCCTCGCTGCCTTTCTTTCTCTCTCACCAGTGATGCTCTGCGGGAGCGTCGGCTCAGCGGCTGGTCGAAGGGCGGGCTGCTCAGCTGCAGTTTTTCTAAGTAACCATCAGGTATCCGGATGTCGGCCGGGAGAGACAGACGTTTGTTCAGGTCCTGGAAACACATAGAGAGACACACAACAGAGACTCAATTTGTGTCCACATAGTGTAAAACCCTGAGAAAACGGAGTTAACTCTCAGCAAACAGCGTAAGCTCTGAATAAATACCACTGATTAGCAACAAAATGGCAGAGATCCAGAGTAAACAAGTAGAATCTGTAAGAACCAGCATTATACAGCCAGCTTTCGGCCTCACTGGCCAACAGAGAGGGCAGTGTGTGTGTGTGTGTGTGTGTGTGTGTAAATACACGTGTAGCCGCATGCTTCTATACAGTTCTGTGCAGCAGACTGTGCACATGAGAAAGGCTTCCTGTAGGGGGCCCTTTAAGAGTTCAGGGTAAAGTCTTTGCCAGAGCAACAAAGTATTAAATCATGAATCTAATGAGTTGTTATGTAAAAATCAAACACACACACACACTTACAATGAAATGTCTGGATTCTTCCCATCATGCATTTCCTCTATTTGTTAGATTACTGTTAATCCGGTCCACCCCCCCGCCCCCCGAGGTAACACTGGACACTTAGTTTCACTCGACTGCTCTGCCCCCCTCACTGAAATACAATAATATGCAACTCTGAACTTTCCACATTTGAACAACAAGCTCTCTCATGAATGTGTAACTGAGAAATCCTGGACAGATGAGCCATGACAGTGACTCGACTAATAACAGCAGCAAGGCCTCACATTTGGGGAGTTGGCTGCAAATTACCTGAACAGTTTACCAACAGTAATCCAATATAATACCTAGAATGGTACTCAGTCGAACGTATACCTCCATCAATGCCCTATAAATTCAATCAAGCTGCACCACATTTCACACAATCAGTTCCCTAAATATGTCGGATTTTTTCATTTTAACCACGACCCACGAATTATACTCTGCATCAGTAAAATTGTCAAAAAAGCCTCAAAATGTTCATGAATTGGTTGAACCATTCTGCAAGTTTCATGGTCATCTGCCCAGGAGTTTTTGTGTAATCTTGCTTAAAAACAAGCATGTGTTAACTTCTCAAATAAAAATAGTTAGATGCTGTTATTAATTTTTTTTTAAATATCTTTCAGTTTTCTTGTGTTGGGACAAAACAAGCAAACTAAAAGAATAACACAGGCTTAAGGAAACTGACAGAAATTTCTCTCTACTTTCTATTATTTTTGGAAAAAAAATTTGGTGGCAGATTAATCGGAAATGAAAAAAACATTAAGTCGCATACATGTAAATAACAGCCTTTCAGCTTGAGCACACGCTGCCACAATGTGCATCTGTGTTTTTTAAATTTTGATCATTACACCCAGCGCTGCTGCTCCAGAGTGTCTGTGTGCAGAACCAGGATTGGTAGTTTGCCATCGGAGCAAGTGATGCCATCCATCACTTGACCTTTGCACCCCCCACCCTCCTCTCGTTGTCCAATCAACCAGGCCTAATCTGTTACAACAGGAGCCCATCTGGACCGTATTACAGTAATCCTTGTGATGTAATCCCAAAACAGCACAACTTCTTCTGCAGCAAGATCCAATCCACCAATCCACTGCCTGACCATAAACGGAAGGACTTCCTCATTCGTCCTCACCCTCTTCTACTCTCCCTCCTTTGAGAGTCACTGCAGCATAGAGACAGCAAGCAAGGCTGCACAGTGAATGTATTGCTTGATCACTTCATCAACAGCAACACTGCGCTCCATCATGCTGCTTATATCAGTTAAAAACAATGCAGAGTGTTTGTTGGGCTGCAAGAAAGAATCTGAGTGTAACTGTGTGCGTGTGTGTATGTGCTTCTGCTCAACATCTTCTTGTTGTGAAACAGTCACAGGAAGTGTGAGGTTCGCTGCTTGCAAAGGCACAGTGAGAGGTGACGTGTAATGTCTGTGAATGTGTGGGTGTGTGTGTGTGTGTGTGTGTGTGTGCACACGCGTGATTGTGGGTATGGCCCCAAATGGAGTAAGCTGCTTAACTGCACGTTTAGAGGGTGTTGTTTTTCTGTCTGTCTTGGTTTGTCTGCTCAAAATCAGAAACCCCCAGAGATCCTGCTGCAATCACAGTGACTGATAAACACTGTAAGAAGAGGAGAAGTGTGTCTTCTTCAATCACAAGACTTTTTCCTCCTGTAATGAACCAGCAGGTGCTAAGCAACACACACTTCACTGGCCTATTGTCCAATTGTCAACCTCTACCACACAGACAGGGGAATTTAATATGTAAAAATGATATATGATCATAAATAAATTTCCAAAACAAATGCTTTGTATGTTTGAGGATGTTGAAATGAATAAAATCATCAACATGTCAAGGTTAACCTTCAGTGACATTTCACTTTCACTATCCCACAGTCACCCTGACACTGCAGTCAGGTGTACATCCCTAAAATCCCATTAGTAGTCATTAAGATGGATTTAAAGGTCCAGGTTGTAAGATTTAGGTGAAAGGGATCTATTGGCTGAAACTGGATATATAATAATCCAAGTGATTTTCATTAGTGTGTTTCATCTAAATTGTACAAATTGTTGTTTTCTTTACCCTAAAATGGACCCTTGAAATTTAAATACTTTATATTTACATAGGGAGCGAGTCCTCTATACGGAAGCAGCCATGTTTTATTTTTAAACAGTCTAAACTGGACAAACTAAACACCAACTACACACTTCAAATGTATGTCTTCATCAGATTCCATCCATCAGATTTCCTGTCATTACTATGGAAACACACATAGAAAGCTGATTGAAATCTGCAAAAGTCAAATTAACCTCCCTGAGCAGCCCACAACCTTCAGTGTAATTTCTCCTCTTGCTGCCTTTTGTGTCGCTTTGGCCCAACAGGACTAGAGCTTTCACTCCTGATCACGTTCTCCATTTGTGTGCGTGGTTGACTTCAAATATGCTCCACTAAATCAGCCTCAGTATGACTGGAGCCACGACCATTTTATCTCTACAGAGGCTTGTTTTTGTTCTCAAATGTTAAATCATTATTTTGGAATAATGATGCTTCCTTACGCAAACATAACATCCTCATTGTGGCATGAAATGTAAATTCAAATACAAAACAAAAAAATTGTCACAGCAAAAGTCTTTCCATAATGTGTTGACATTATGTAACTACCAGTGTGTGTGTGTGTGTGTGTGTGTGTGTGTGTGTGTGAGAGAGAGAGACAGAAAGGTTAGTGGGTGTAGGTGGTAGTGAAGAGATTCAAAACTATGTTTAGAGGTACAGTATGTGGAGTCAGTGTACATATGTATTTGCACATGAATGTGTATGTCTTATGCTAAGATTATGTGGGCAGCTGCGTGTTCATGAAGACATGACAACGCTCAGTTTCCAAGTGAAGCTGCAGCACACACATCATTAGATACTGTGTCTTACAGAGGAAAAAATGTCCCTTGTTAAATACTGACATACTGACTGATCGTTCAAGCTTTCCATTGAATTATATTAAACAGACCTTCAATGACAATGTGGAGGATGAACCACTAGCCCAGGTATAACCCAGATAAACAGATGTGTCGTGATTCATAACCATAACATATTCAGACGTCAGAGCTTGTACAAATGTAGCCGGTGACTCACACCCCACAAAATAATTAGTATTTCAAAAAGCAGGAAGTCTGTGCAAGGACAAAGAAAGTCTGACAACAAGAGAGACTCATATTTCACCTCTGCAGAGATGCGTCTGTTCCCTCGGTTCCTCAGACAAACACCTGTGGGTGACTGCACCTCGTCTGAGGACGTCCCTGATGCCTGGTCGCTCTCCCCATCGGACCCCATCTTCAGGTTCTCGTGGACGATGTCTGGAGTAGGGAGACAAAGTTAGAGAGCGCAAAGAAGGATAAGGGGTTGAGTTTGGGAGATGGAGCAGGTCTGTGTGAAAACAGGTCAGGGCTCAGCAACAGCTTAGACTTCACCTGCCTCAGCAGATCGTATCTGGACCGCCTACAATTGGTCCAGATCACTGCAGCAATAGTGCTGACTGGTTCCAGCAAGATGACCTATATCACACCCAGTCTATATTCCTTACATTGGATCCCCTTACATTCAGAATTCATTTGAAGGTTCTCATTCTAACATACAGAGCACTCCATGGCCAGATGTACATCTCCAACCAGTCAATTGAGCACTGGTATCGAAGTGTTTTTTGGGTGCTAATGCTTTGTCTAATTCTTTAATTGTAAAAACTGTTGTTTTGTGAAGCACATTGTGATCTGCTCTATGAAAGGTGGCATATTGAATACACTTGACTTAAATCACTTACTTTAATTTACTTTTACCATATCCTTTGTGCTTATCTCGTTGCCGGCTGTGTTGAACACATGATGTGAATGCAAAGTATATTAGATTTAATAAGTTTGACTGATATATTTAATATACTCCAGTGCCACAGGGCTTTAGACAAATCCATATATCAAGCTCATTTCCCCACCTCTCAAACAAACTCAGGTTTCATACAGGATGAAACACACTGTCATCTTCTCCAGGCTTTATGTTTATATTATGAAAACTGTATAAATATTGTACATGGGCTCACAATCCAAGCAACTGGTTTTCTTTAGAGCTCATACTATTATTCTATGGCTCAATATTTTAACAAATTCTTTACAGTGCGGCTGAATGTAAAATCTGGAATGATTTAACTGATATTTATGTGCGTCTGTGCTGACATCTGCCTGCGGCAATGTTAGTTTCAGCACGTAATTCACACATAATATATCACTTAGAGTATGAAGGTTCAGCTGACTCAGTAGAAAGTGTAAGACAAGGATCTGACATGTTTTGAGGATATTCCACTTGTAGCTATTAGACAGCTAAATCTAACAGCTTCACATTTAGATTTTAATATAGAATAACATTTAGCCACTAGCATCTACACACATTCTACAAATTCCACACAAAATAAATCCCTTGCACTAAACCTCTGTTTAAAGTCACAAAAAAGTGTATGTGGATGTGTGCGTGTGTGTCTCACCAAGGCGACTGCCATTGCGAGGCATGACCATGAGAGACCCGAGGCCTCCTCCGATAACACTTTGAGGTCGTCGCAGCGGTGGCTTTTTGAAGGATCCTGTGTACTGATGGAGGAAGGAGTGCACGCTGTGGGCAGACGGAGGACGACCGTTCCTCACTATGGGCTCTGCCAGAGAAGACAAAAAAACAATGAATAAAATGTATTTTTGTTTATTGTCATTGCAGGTATACAAGGTTTACATGTCAGACAATAAATGACAAATGGCAGAGTGAAGTACAGAAATGCGAAAGATAAACGTTTTAAAACTTCTGTCTGTCTGACTAACAGCTTTCTGATGCAGGAGCATGACTGGCGAAACCATAGCATAACACCAGACTGCATTAAATAATCACTACCGTTACATAAGTGGTTTTAACTCTTAATCTACTGATGCATAGATTTGCATGTAATATATTAACTGCTGTGATAAGACAGTCTATTGCATCACTATAGCACATTAAGCATGTGTTTGTATAAAAGGATTTTATGTAGGGACACGGAATTTGAGTTTTATTTATCACGAGAAGCAGAGTGAGACTGGTGAACAGAGGAAAACACCCAGAATAAAAAGACAAAGAAAGAAACTGAGATAATCAAAGTAAATGAACTCATGAAAGAAACAGGTGAACTGTTGTAAAATAGATTTAGTGTAATATAGTTCAGGGTAATTTGAGATATTGTCTTATTTTAGTTTATTTCAAAATACAAAGTAGGGTTGGGGGTAGGTTGAACTTTCCATGAGTATAACCATCCTGCACTGAAACTGGGGTTATCCAAATGTAAACAGAGCCGACCTCAGGCTTCTGTTCTTGAGACCACTGCAACTCTGATACTGTGAATAGCCAGTATCAAAAGTAAAGAAGTGACAGAGGTTAGCATGTAAACAAAAGGTCTTGTAGTCGAAGTTGTGTAGTCCCATTTGTCAGAAAGCAAAGGATTTAGTGGGATTTATTATGTACAGAGCAGCACATACTGAAACACAGACTGTGGGGAAAAACACTGAGCCCCAGAGAAGCAGTTAAGCAGGACAGTCGGACCACAGACAGACGGACACAGCAGGACATGTGCAACAAGGGCAGTGAGGATTAGGATGCAACACAAAGCAACAGCTATTAAGAGTAAATAATTCCATCACACAAGAGAAAGATGGTTATGGAGCTTAAACATTTGTCACTCAGACATAAACAAGGTCAGAGAGAATGAAATAAAATGTTATATCAGTTCATGTGCGTGATCAAAATACTACAAGATAACACCACATGGAGAGTCACAGTTCACGGCCGACGTAATTCCCACTTTTCTGGTTTTGACAGCTCTCAACATGGTGAACTCTCCACTCAAAGATGCAAACAGACGCAGGGTGCATCTTGATCTCCCCCTCGGAAAAAGACTCAGATCATATCATATAAAAAAGCGATGGGAACAAGTATAGGGAAGGCAGTTCAACAAAAACAACTTGCACAGGCAGTAAGGAATGTAGGACATGTAGTAGCACAACAAGCTTCATTTTATATCTACAACATCTATAATAAATGGTAAACAAAGATTTATGAGGTTTTAGAGTAAGCCAGCCATGTATTCACCTAAACACCCCCACAGCTCAATGATTAGACTGGCCTCTGGTATCCAGGGTCAACCAACCCTGTGGTGCTGTTTTCTCACTTAAATCTCATCATGAAAATTAGGTTCACAAGACTCAAACTGCCTTTTCCAAGCAGATTCACAGCAAAATGTTCAGGTCCTAGACTATTTAAGACCTTTTTAACGAAATGAAATTTAAGATCAAACTTGCTACGGAAATACCGAAAATATACTTCACTGGATCTCCTTGATCCCCATTATCCCAAGTTTGACAAACGTTTGACATGCTTGATGAGAACATCCAGGGCCTGGCTTTAACCACCACAAATGCTTGTCATTCTCAAGCCACTTATCATTTAACTTGCATTTTTCCAAGTTCATAAACTAGCTATCAGGCTGGTAAGAAAGGCATTAGTTTAACATATAAACCCAACTAGAAACAGACAATGCAAATCTGAACTAGTAATTCTTCTTTACAGCGACTTTTTAGGGACTTAAATTTATAAAATTGAATTTCATACATTGTAAGACTTTCTAAGGACCTGCAGTCACCTTGTGACAACCACAAACACAACCAGGGTCATGAAGAAGTATCTAAAGTGACAAGAAGAACAAAGAGTCCTGCAGCAGATGATCTGGTGACCATCATCTGATCCAGACGATGTGGCCTCCATAAAGCTCTGGCATCATGGAGTCATTTTGGGACATGAAGAGACAGATACAGATACAATCCACAGAAGAACAAACTGTACCGTTTTCTCAAAAAGGGTGCACATGTTTGTCAAGGAATGGTGCTATTTTAAACACCAAGGATGGTCACACCAAATACTCACTTGACCTTTTTCTGATGTTTATACTGTGTGTGTTAAAATATAGAAAGTATTAATGCCCTTCTATTTGAGAGAATCCTCTAAAACATTTGCACTGCACTGTTTGTTAAGAATTTCCTAGATTCCCTATATGGAGACAGAAAAATACACAGCCCCCAAGTATAATATACAGGTCCTTATGCCACCGCTCCCTTATCTCTCTGCAGCTGCTGCCACTGCCGCTGGCCTGAGTCATGTTGTCGTGTTACATAACCAGATCAGAACCAGAACACATTCCCCAATCACAGAGTTCAGATCACATCTCATCTGGCTACTCCATTCTGTCTCCTCTCTACCCTACTTACTGTTACACAGGCCACTGCAATCCCAACACGCAAGCTCTGTCTCACACACACACACGCATGTGCACGCACACACACACACACAAACACACAGAACATGATTCTGTGTCCCCACTCTCTAAGCACAGAACACTCTGGCCAAACCTGGTGTTAATCACTGCACAAAAAGCTCTTTACAAAGCTCAGTTAGTTCTCAGAAGAATTGGGAGGTGGGGGGGGGGTGTCCTAGGACGATCTGATTGTTTGAAGAAGGGAAAATAACTGAGGACAAGTCTGAAAGAGGCTTGGAAGAGAGAGAACTCGGGGTGTGCGAAATTTAGGGAAGCATTAGAAAAAAGAGATTCCTAACTAGCTTCACCAAGTCATCCAAGTTGCTGTGGCAATGTCATGGAAACTCTAGAATGTTTCCAGTACCCCGAGCACCATGGTAACGACGTGGTGGCACACCGAGGCATGCTCCCTCCCTCGCTCCCCGTAGATTTTGTGAATATCAGCAGAGATAAGCTGCTGTGCCACTCTGCTTTTTATTTTGACGCCTTAAAGGCTGCAGCCTTCAACTGAATCCAAATGAATGATGTAATCATCTACAGTGTCTGTGAGCACAGAACAGAGTTTATATCTAACTGACAATAAGCCAGTGGCAGTTGGAGCAAAATAAAACTGAATTGTCAGTGTGAAAGAGGCACATCTTTGTTGGTTCCCTGATAAAAAGTAACAACTAACATTAAAGCCTAATGAAAAAAAATCAACCTCATCCCCTGAGGTGCATTTCAGTTAGAAATATCTAATCATTTGGCCTCATTCACCGTTTTTAAGATTTAAAATCCACTTTTACAAGGATCCTTACTTTCAGCAATGTTTTCTCATTCCTCTTATTCTTATTGTTCTGATGTAAGGACAGAATCTGCACACAATAAAGAGCACTGAAAGGCTTGTATACAATAATATGTTTTTTACTTTTAACTCTACAGTTGTATGGTTGTAAAAAAAAAAAAATGTTCTTGCAAATTTTTTTTTTAAATGCTTGGAAATGTTGAAGAGGAGAACACACACAGAATATCTGGTCTATGCTGCAAAAGATAAGAAAATTCTTAAGAAGAAATTGGTGAATGAGGCCCATTGTGTTCTGTTGAGCATGCTGCTTAATGTGAGCTTCAAATGTTAACTTAATAAAACATTCAGCAGTTCAACTTTGATTCCTATTTCAGATTCTAGGATCGTGTTAGATCAAATTTGGATTTTGCTTTGGATAAAAAAAGTACATTATATCTGCAGTCCATTAAAATTCAACGACTAAATCCCATTTCAGATATGCTCTTCATTGCGTAAATGTGCTGGGAATGTTTAAACATTATCCTGGTGCTTGAATAAATGCCCACTCGCCTATGTTTATCCTTCACTTGTTGTAGATGTGTATCCTGGGCCCAAAAATCAACTAAACTAAGCCCCTCATCTTATTAATCTGAAAAACAGCCCACAGTGACCTGATAGACCCAGAGATAGAAGAGGAACACACTCAGCTGCCAGATAGGTATGACTTGCTCTAATGGAGTCAAATTCAATAATCCTCCAGTATATCTTCCCTCCATAAAGGTTGTAATGTTAGGTTTGTTGACGCTGGCTGCAGTTTGCGATGCTGTTGAATTGCACATTAATATAGTGTCTGTAATATTTAGTCTACATTTGATTTAAATGGAGAGGACATGCCACTCAAATCCCCAGACATTTAAGTGGTAACAGTTTGTGTAGCGTGTGGTCTCCTGTCCCCAAGCAATCAAGTATTATTAATGCACAAAGACTGCAAGACTCCCGATCACAAGACATCCTGTTGTGTGAACTGCACAGTGATCCGATGACTTTGAAAGTTGCATAGTCTGACCTTGGTATATGCTGGGACTCATGGGCACTGTAGTATTCACCATACATAAGTTATGTAAGAAAACTAAACTGAAACTACTTAAACTCAGTGCCATGAAACATTATGAAGAGGGAAATAGAGAAATCTACGGAGATTTGAATACAAACACCCTTTAAATTTAATTTGATTAAAACTCACCACTGTCCTTCAGGCCGTTTTCCTCGATGGTCATCTGCTCAGCCAGCTCAGACAGCGACTCGTCAATGGTGTGGCTGCCCCGTAATGTCTGAGAGAGTCGTCTCTTGAACCGCTTCATCTTCTCCATGGAGCTCTCGGGAAGGGGAGGCCTGAGGAAAGCAAAAAGAAAGAAAAAATTGACATTTGGCTGCAATCCATGCAAGACAAAAGGGAATGCATGAGTGCATGTTTTAGTTACAGAAGAATGAACCAACTATCTGAAAGCTGTAGTGTTGATGTGGCTCTTGACATTTCTCATATCTGTATTGCAAAATGGCTTTAATTCAAAAAGGTGACACCTCATCTGCCTGAAGCCATGTTTCACAATCAGGAGCCAAACTGACACCAAAGACAGGGTTAGATCACTAGGTATCAGACTGGCCGAACAAAGACACAGACCAATCAGCACCCGGATGATAATTATGACTCAGCTCATTCAGGCACATTGCTTTACATTCCTCCCCCCTGGGAAAATATGACGAGTTAGTGAGAGATTCTTACGGGTGAGTTTAGAGTTCGGTCCCTGGCACAGCGGACTGTAAAAGCAAATCCTAAACCGGAGGGATTTGCTGCTGAATGGAGCAGGACTAGCCTGGGCCACATTGAGTCCACATTACACATTCCAGCTGCCTTTACTGTGTGCACGAGTGTGACTGAGTGCAAGAGCTAGACTCTAGCTAGAGGCTCTATGTGTGTGTGAGAGAGAATCTGTGTGAGGAGAGGGAAAGGGGTTCGAATCAAGACGGAAGATATTTGTGAAAACAGCAGATTACAAGCAGCCGCTCCCTGTGACCTCGATGTAGAAATCATGACTCCACTACAACTGCAAGTCTGGACCTGTGATTGTCTGTCTGTGGTTATGATGATGATGACGATGATGATAATGACTAAAAGCAGACATGAAAACAGATGAGCAGAACGGGCTTCAGGTTTCACCGCCTGTCAACTAGTCCCCAGTGACAGCCCTGTCTTCCAGATATCAGTCATGACATGGATTATATCCAGCGACGCATCAAATCAGCTACAGTTAAACAGAGGAAATGTGGGGATGATTGCGTTTGAGGGACATTGTAACAGAACAGGGTCTGACTGAGAACTACAGATGCTCTCTAAACGTTGGTTATTAAAGGCTAACATTACTCTGACTTTGTATTGTCCTTTATTTTGCCTGTGCAATTGTAACACAAAAGAGCATGAAAGACTACAAAGCTTTCCAAACAGTCTAGTCTCAAACATATGGCTGCAATAGATGATTATTGTCAGTATAGATTTTTTGTCTAAAATCTTTAAATTCTCATTCTTTACAGCCCGAAGTGATGTGTCCAAAACCAACCATATCCAACTGATGAAGATATGAGGCAGAGAAAGGCAGCAAAATTCTCACATTTGAGAAGCTGTAAAGTAATGAATGTTTGATGGATGACTGAACTGATTAACCTGCAGTTACCTATTGGAGATGGTGGGGATTGGGAAAAGCATCAGCTCTAACTAAAAGTGGTGAAAAGGTTACAATAACTAGTGTGAAAATGTGACAACATATGACATCTGTAGCCAAACAACACAAACACAGTGGCTTGATTTAAACATTTCATTACACAAAAACAGATCATTAGAATCAGTGTGTTAAAAAAATCTGCCATGAAAAATAGAACATGCAGCTCCTGAATCCTCTGCAGAGTTTTATGAGGCAGCGAGCTTGTTCCTATTCCCTACACTGAGTGGACAGCAGCAAGCGTCTTGTCTGAACTGGGACTGAGGCCAAAGCAAACTGGGGAAGCGCATGGAAGAAATATTAGACTGAAGATCAGGAGAATGTAAAATGCAGAAGGAAACTTAATACACTATGCGCAGCTTCAGATAACAGTGAGGTACCTGAAAAAACGTGAACTGGAAAACCCACATACTGTGTAATTTGTGAACTTACTGGTTTCAGTTACCTGGTTCAGTCTTTTGGGGTAAATTTTATGGAGCCGTGATGTTCTTGGCTTGTTTCTGGTCAGGCACATTTATTGCACAAAGTCTCTATAGCTATAGCTTTCAGGATATCAAAATGATAAGTCCAAGTTTTGTGAGATGAGAGGAGCACATATTAAACATTAAAATTTAATTAACAGGACAAATTAACAATGTCTTCACTCTCACAAACTTAACATAGCACTCCTCTAACAGAGGAAAAGAAAAGACCTTTATTGTTTCAGCTGAACCAGAGATATCATCTTTTTCATTCCACATCGTCCTTGTCCAAACCCGCCCCCTGCATTACCCACGTTGCATCTCAACCACAGACAGCTGGGACAGAGATTCAGGTGCTGGTAGCAGCTAATGTATCTTTGAGTCACTAGCCTCAAGCAGAAATTTGGAGCAGTTACAGAGCTCTGGTAACATCACTTCATTCTAAATCCACTGCCAGGTTTCTGTTATATTTAAAATTTAAGACTAGGAACCCAACCTATGCCTACTGAAATTACATCACACAATTTATCAGACTTCACAAATAGCTTTATGCAACTTTATGCCACATTTTCAGTCATACAACCCAGGAACTATGGACAAGCTGTAGAACAGATGAGATACTCTTTTCCACTACAGCCTTATTTTCCTCTTCAGACTGGTCAGACCATACATTTTACATGATATTCTTGTCTTGTGCAGCTTTTATTCCACATTTATACGTTCTTCCCTTTGGCATTTGCCAATCAATCTCATCATTCTAGGAACTAAGAGGAGGCAGAGCGTCAACTAGTTTGTCATAACGGCTTCACGTCAGTCAGTTCTGCCTCCTGACACATCAGCCTTACCCACACTCCTGCTGCAGCCGTGCACACAGCCTGCAACGCTGACACTGGATAGAAAGGGAACACTCAGAACTGATCGAAAACTATTTATTCATCACTGTTGGCAGGTGCACTGAAGAAGACGACTTACCTGTCAAAGCATCAGTGATTTAATAGCCAAAGTAGCAATTTTCTAACCACTCTGGTTGAACTTCAATTGAAACAGTCATTAAATTGATTAGTTAATCAACAGAAAAGTAATAGAAACAAACAACTTGTTAAGTTGTTTCAGTTGTATACTAAAGCAAGAATGCTAATTATCTGCTTGTTCCAGCTTTTAAAATGTGATTATTTGCTGCTGTTTTAATTTGAAGAAAAATATGTCTCTCCATGGAAATTGCCCAAACAATTCTCCAGAAACATATCTACCTATCCCCCTCGCTCTTTCTCACCCGAACACACATGGACATCGTAAACAAAGAGCCACGTAGTAAATGCCATTCTGCTTGCTAATGCAAAGTTATCTAGCTATGAGCGACAACTCCAGTAGCAGCACACACACTTTTCAGCGTTCAAACAGTGTGTGTGTGAGACAGACGAGGGGCAGGTAGACAACATGGTGGTTTAATAGTTTCAGCATTGATTCGAAAAATGAGCGCAGCTTTATAGATTCCCACTAACAAGCTGTCCCTGGGGGCGGGGCCGCCCACCTTTGATTAGAGGGTGTAACCTTTTCAGATATCAACGTAAACGTAAGCATCGGCGCTGCAAGGTCCAAGATGGTTTGAAACACTGTGTGCAAGGAGAGCCATGTTCAACCCATAAATGTAGATTTTTTTTCTACATTTGTTAATACATTTTTTCATTAATTTTCATTAATCATATACTTAAAAAACAACATGTAAATAAGCAGCATCTCATAAAAGTTAATTGGTAAAACTAAAAGTAACATTGAACTTTAAGAACTTGTTACTTTCATCAGTTTGTGGACTTTTTATAAACTTATTGATAGATTAATCAATAATGAACACATCCGTAAATTGACGCCATAATTCAGATTTTATTCTGGTTGAACCAAAACACTTTGACATGTTAGTAAATCGCTGGGATACATCAGAATTAAGTACTAATAGATTAGGATAAACCGACATGCTATTTACTGTTGGTTTCCATGGTAATAACCAGGACCCCCTCTTGCTGTAATAATGTATAGGATGAAGCTATAGCAGGGGGCACATTAACATCTCATAAATAACTGGGACACAATCTATTATCCAGCAGACTCAGTGGATACAAATCACTTTCTGAGAGCTCCATGGAAAGTTAACAATAGCAGTATAAAAAAGAAGGGGGGCTGTCTACTGTGGATCCGTATCCGCTGGCCCACGTCCCTGCTCTGGGATCGAGTGCGGAGCTTTGGACATGATCCCTGTTCTCAGCCTCATGCCTGCTCTCCTAAGTAGGCCGGTCTGAGGTCTGAGCTCCAGATCCACTGGGAGGACGCCAGGGAGGAGGAGGAGGTGGCGGGAGGGAGGGAGAGAGGGGGAGAGGGGGAACTTGAGGGGGAATGGAAGGGTCCGAGGATTGCACTGATTTGGGATTTGTTGCCACGGCAACCCCGCTGCTTTTTTTCCATGTTGAAAATGCAGAGCGCAGCAGGAGACTACATGCATGCTGATTTTTTTCCATCTCTCTCCATCTCACAACCTACAGCGAGTTTGCATTTTTTATCCCCTAAACCAGTCATCAACACCCACCACGATGTGACACTCACATCACAGAGTAGCCCTGACACAGTTGTGTGCTAAACAACATTTCCCACCTGTTTTCCTGGCAGTACAGTAAGCAGGAGATAGGGAGGTGGATTTGAAGGAAACAGGAGCTGGGAGGTGGGGAGTGAAGCATTATGGATGCTACAGTGCTGACATTACACATATGCTTCATATGGATTCTGTCCTTTTCCTGCTGTAGCCCTGGGCAGATAGTAACTGTGTCGATACTAAACAAGAGGTTTTCTAAAAGGGTATGAGTAGAGCTCCTGCTGTGAAGAACCACCACCCCCACAGCAGCCCTGCAATGCCAGACTAGCGCTCCACACGCCAACATCACTGCGGAAGCCTGTGCAATTGTCCCACTTTTGCTGGACGAACCAATCACACCACAGACCAGCTACAGGGTGACTTCTGTCTGGGCCACACACAGAAACAGGAAAAGCAAGGTCGCAACCTCTGAGTCACCCCTCCAGGGTCCAGTAAACCTCCTGCCATCACTGCCTGGAGGGAGGACGGGGGTCCTAGAAAACTCCCTTCTCTCCACCCCTGGTTGTCTCGCTCACA